CATGTAAACGATTCTATGCTTCTTCATGTTAGTGAATGAACTCCAAAAAAGCTACAGCTTCCACAAAATTAGAGTAGTTTCATGTCTTTTCTGTCTGATTCCCCAGGTGTCTCGAGATGGTGGTCTCGCTGTGCCTACCAGTGATGTCCGTGGAAGCAGTGACATTGTGGAAGGCGGAAGGATGGCTCTAGATAACAAAACCTCCCTACTTAACACCCAGCCTCCTCGCGCCTTTTCAGGGCCACGTGCTCGAGAATATAACCCCTATCCTTATGCTGACACAATTAACACTTATGACAAGACTGCCCTGAAGGAAGCAGTGTTCGATGATGACATGGATCAGCTTCGGGATGGTTTGTATCAGCTTGTCTCATAAAACTGCAGGCAGCTCTGTTCTGTTCCTGCTATATTTGTGTATGGGTAGTATGCTCAGATACATGCCTGCCCGTGCATATGTTGTGTATTACTTTGCATCCGAGTCAAGGATTGATATGAAATACTCTGTTCTCATGTACTAGCAGAACCTGATCTGTGGCTATTAGGAAAATGTTATACTGCAGCTTTAATTTTTGTTTGCCTAGAGTTTCCATCAAACTAGTCCCTTAAGCATCTAAATGCATCTGTAGGGACACCATTTTGGGGACCTTCCACTCCTTATGACTGAAACATCTCACTCAATAGCTCATCATTGATGGGCGTTTCACTTCATTTAAGTTATGCTACACCTTAGCTTTATTCTTTAGCTGTACACTGTACTTTGATCTAAAGGTCATACATGTGATCGGTGGTTTTGGGTGTGTATGTCTGGGAAAAAATGCAGCAGTTCTCATCTTGTAGAAGTAATTATTGGAACTGGATGAAATTCAATTGTCATCTCTTCCTGGTTCGTTAGAAGCCATGTGCAGATTAATGAATTGTGTTATGAACTCAGGTGAAATTGTGGGCTAGTTGGATTCTCTTGCCTGCTTGACCTAGGCCAACTGGAATTTGATGCGGTTTTGGGGGGCCTCTTGTTATGTGCGCTTTGTTCTGGTAGAAGGCTAGTAATCTTGGCATCTTTGATCTTTTTTCCCCATTTCCCCAAATGGTTTGCTGCCATTTGGCCTAGAAGTACCCATTGACCATTCAGATTTGGTGGCTGATCTTCTGAAAGAGCTCTCCAACCACAACGAGCGGGTGGAGGAGCGGAAAGGAGCTCTCCTGGAACTGCTAAAGATCACAAGGGAAGATAATCTCGGAGTTTGGGAGGAACATTTCAAAACCATCCTGCTCTTGTTGCTGGAAACGCTTGGAGACAAAGATGTGAGATGTAGATTTTTGTCTTAACTCTCCTGTACGTTGTGTCATCTAGGGTGATAGTTCCTCCACACTAGTTTAAATTAAACCTGCTCCTTTTGTATAGCAGCTCATCAGTGATGCTGCACTGCTTGCTTTTTATTTCAAAGGTTGACAACTCTGCTTTCATTTTCAGTGTATTCAATAATTAATTTTAAGCTACTCTGAAATGATCCATTTTTTTCCCTTCCCTCCTGAGTGTTAGTAACAAGTAACTAAGAAATTGAACTAGAATCAGAAAACAGGTTATATTCTTGTACAAAAACTATCAAGATTTCAAAAATTGTTCTCTTCCAAGTTAGGGTGAAGTTACAAGCTGTTAACTGTATCATATCCATTCCCCAAAAAAGGAGAATAAAGGCACCCTAGAATAAATCCCCCTCCCCATGTGTCTGGTTTAAAGATCCAGGCTATTAGAGCTCATGGGCTGGGTCTCTGTCTCTTGCAAAAATGTCATCAAGAGCAAACTGCTTTTATAGGGGATCTTGTTTTGATGTATTAAAAAAAGCTGTGTTATTATCACAGCTTTATATTTGATAGCTGATCAAAGTTTACAGGCTGGACTTACTTTTTTCCACTTGGGGTTATTTGTTCAGTTTGCAGCACAATGATATTTGGTAAAGGTTCAGCACCCTGCTGTGCCTTCACATCAGAGCCATGCTCCATCTAAATGTTATAATATTTAGGCTTCAAAGCGCTAAAGCATTCACGGTTCTTTTATTTGTTTTGTTCTGGTTTTTTTTTTTTGTATCATCTGATTCAAATCCATTGTAAAGTATGTGGTACGCTCTCAGAGATTTTAATTCTGAAGTGTAGGTGGGTGACACTTTCTCAGTTGTTGTTCGTAGTATAAGCATGAGCTGCTCTAGTCCTACATGTTTAATCATAGCATCACCACACATGTGTCAGAAGATATGGTGGCTTTATCTAAGTACATGTGAATTGTGCTACTGCACGAATTTTGCGGATGAATAGTGAAGGACATGCTTTAAAGGCTGAGTATAGAGTAAAGTAAGTATTCCTCTGCTGAAATGATAGAATCTGTTTGGAGTGGCCACAGGCCAAAAACTTAATATAGCAGTTATGAAATTGAAGCAGGTGCTATAAATCCCTTCTGCTAATGATCTTTTGATATAAAGGATTAACACATAGGTTAGTGTTGACTACAATGGCTGACTGTTCTTGAAAGTAATTTCCTTAGGAGTTACAGGAAGAGAGTCAATTTTACTGCATTAGTACATGAGAAGCAGCTTTGTGGCATGGATGGAGCCCAGTTTGATATCAGCAAAGCTAAGCAAAGGAGGAAGGGCAAAACAAACATCATCTGAGCTTCTTTGTAGATTGATGTAAGGCAGACATGCTGCTTTGGGTACAAGTTTGTACTTCATTGCCAAAAGTGTGTGGAATTTAACAAAGTGGAGTCATTCTGATTCTTTCTTTTATCTGTGACAAGTCATTTTACGTGAATTTTTGTGCAAAAGCAAGCAAGGAGACCAATTCTCAATTTTAATTATAATAGATTACACTGCTCACTCCACTGGCGCTGGTAGGGCAATGTAAGATTTTTGGTGGTATTAGGGACCCATGAGAGTTTAGTTCGAACTATAGTTTTGAGAATTGACTTTTTTTTAACGTGGATTTCTCTTGACACAGCATTCAATAAGAGCTCTGGCACTGCGAGTCCTGAGAGAGATCTTGCGAAACCAGCCAGCAAGGTTTAAGAACTATGCGGAGCTGACCATCATGAAAACACTGGAAGCACATAAGGATTCCCACAAGGAGGTGAGCGAGCCTTTCAGTGTTGCTGCTGGGAAGGCAATATGGACCTGCTAAAGAAATGTAGCGACAGTGAGATTTAACAGGCAAACACGTTAACCTATCTTGACAGTAGAACAAATTCTTATTAAGTCTCCTGAGTATGAAGAGACAGGATTTTTACGTGCTGAAGCAGGGAGGAAAAGAGTTGAGACTGACTGACTGTTTAAGCGGATTTGGAACTATCTGGAATTGTAGGCCACTGTTTATCAACTCCCCAGGATTTCCTTGCTCATTCTAGTAGAAAAGTGCATGTTTAATAATTTTGTAGAGGACATTGGGGTCACTGTGCAACCCTCTGTTTGTATGGATAAGGATAGGAAATGTACTGGAGAACACAAAGCCCATGTTCAGTACAATTGTGTGTGAAAACTGAATGGTGAAATTGGGCCACGATGGAGAACTGGGAACTGGTGAGTAACAGGAGAAAATGGACAAAGAGGCCATGCTGCTGAAAAGAAGGTAATTTCCTTTGGTGAGAGAACTCCTATGTAGAAATGAAAGTATTCATCTGGAGTAAAACAAAAATAAAGGGACATGATGATAACACTGGAAGTAGATCAATTCAAATTGAACTTAAAGTTAAACTTTGTAGATTGACTTCCAGGCTGGGTCTTTTAATCTACCTTGTGCAAGCCTTGGAAAGTGCCACATGAATTTCTCTACATGTCTGTGATGGCTTTGTTACCAAACTCTTTGCTTTGAAATCTAAGACTCTTATTCTTCTCTGCAACAGGCTTGTCCTAAATACCAATTTGGGGCATCTCTGTCTGGAGAGCTTTGGCCATGAAAAAGATCATTGTATAGATCAGACAGCTCCAGAGCATTGCATAACTGGCACCAGGTTATATTAGCTGTGCTTAGCAGAAGCTGTACTGTTTAAAAATAAAAACAACAAAATAAAACAAAATTTTCTACTTTTGCGTTTTAATCCTTTAGTGAATGAGGACTACTATACTCTGCCTACCTTCCTCTCCTTGATTTAGAGCCTTTGCACTCCTGTCATTTTCAGTTCAAAGTAATAAGAAGCAGTTGTAAATTGATTTCCTGATAAAGCAGTCAGACAAAACATTGTGTTCTGAAGGAGTGCCTTTTATTGGCAAGTTTTCCTGGTTGCATACTTCTCAGCTCACCTTGACTCAGTGCCCTTTGTATTTTTTTTTTCCAAGAGTCCTCCAAAACTGCCATGTCTAGCAGGACAGACTCTGCCAGATTGTCTCTGGCATGGTTTTTATTGCCCCTCAGAACTCATTGTCCTTGTGGGACTGATGGGTTTTATAAAAATCAAGCACAATGTTGAAAACATGACCCTTTATGCCTCTGTACTCCCAACACTGTGTTCTTCGTGCTTGTGGTGTGGAAAGGTCTTCAGGATTTGGATGAAGTGCCTCCTGAGCAAAAGCAGAGAAGAGTAAGTCTTTGCTACAGAGAAAGCAAAGCTCAAGCCAGGAATGAAGGAAGACATGTGAGTTCTGGCACTTCTTTTTAGAAGAATAATTCTGAGCTGTATTGCTATTGGCAAGTAGCTGCTGTGCTGTACATACCATTGTAAATCAAAGGCATGCTTTTGCCTAGCATCTTTATAGTTAAAAAAAAAATCACATCTGCAACTTCTGCAATGAGACCTTAGGATGACAGTTTTCATAGCAGGATGCTGCAGGTATATTCCTATTTTGCTGTCTGTTGCTAATCAGGTGTGTGTGCATCTGTATTAAGTGGTGGCACTGGTGCTGCACTTTTCGTTCCATGTATGTGTGTTTTCTAATCCCTGTGTAAATGGGGCTTTCAGAACCATGATGCAGCCCATGAAAGGCATCATCTATCTGTCAGTAGTTGGAGAATATCAGCATTCATGAAGTTAAGAAAGGTTTCCCAACTTACACTTGAGTATCTGCATGAGCTAGGCTAAAGGTATACCTGGGAATATGTTTTAGGGATTTTTACCTGTAGTTGGGGCTTGCTGATTCAGTTAAGTCTGTGAAAAATTAACTGAGAGTCCATTTGGGCATGGCTCAGTTGGTCAAACTCATAGCCCTGGGCCAGAAGGTCACAAATTACCGTCCCATGGTGGCCCTCCAACTTGCTCTCACTGCTGACTTTGCAGTGCTGCTCTCTCCAGGAGGTGTGGAGGAGCTGCCCTTTGGCTTGATCCCACTGAGCAGGAGATTAAGTGAAGTTTCACCAGTTTGTGACTGAAGGGCACTTTCAAAGAATAGCTGAAGAAAGAAAGGGAAGGGAAGATCTCAGCAGTCTGTTCTACAGTTTTCTTCTAAAGTTTTTCTTTCTAAATCAGAGCAATATTAAGGGCAGTGGTGTACTGTCCTTAGGCTGCGTAAAATAAAATCTTCCTCTGTACTGTAAAAACTACTTCGAGGAAAACTGCTGTTAGGAAGTTTAGTTAGAAAAGTGTTAATCCTTATGCTAGTAATGCTGTGATAGGTTGTCACTCCATGGTTTTTATGTTTCTGGGCTGCTTCTGCCTTGTAGTAGAAGACAGGAGTGATTCTGGTTTATGGTTTGAGATACTTTGGCACACAACAGGCTGCATAAGTCAGCAGAAAACTACTGTTTTGAATGAGCTGTTTCTGTTTCACTCTTACTTACCTGAGGGACTGCCAATTTCCCTAAATTATCACACTCATTTTCTGTTACGTATGGCCCATGGAGAATCAGTTTAAGTGACCAAGGAAAAAGGAAAGAATTTGAAGAGGTGAACAGTACAGAACTCTTAATCTTGGGTACCATCTCCAAGAAATCGTAGAATCGGTCACAGAATCATTTGGTTGGAAAAGACGTTTAAGATCATCAAGTCCAACCATACCTGTCCGCTACTAAACCATGTCTCTAAGCACCACATCTACCCATCTTTTAAGTACCTCCAGGGATGGGGACTGGACCACTCCCCTGGGCAGCCTGTTCCAGTGCCTGATAACCCTTTCAGTGAAGAATTTTTTCCTAATATCTAATCTAAACCTGCCCTGGTTCAACTTGAGGCCATTTCCTCTCATCCTATTGCTTGTTACTTGGCAGAAGAGACCGACCCCCACCTCGCTACAGCCTCCTTGCAGGTAGTTGTAGAGGGTGATAAGTTGTCCCATCAGCCTCCTCTTCTCTAGGCTAAACAACCCCAGTTCCCTCAGCCATTTCTCCTAAGCCCTGGGCTCCAGACCCCTCACCGGCTTCATTTTTACTAAGAGGCAGTTCTTTGAAAATCAAAAAGAAGGTTCATTTCTTGTCCTGAATTCCAATATTGCTGCTGTTCATCATGACCAGGAGGGATCAAATAACAAATTACAACCAACATATTTGCCACCTAGCAAATACCACCTGCCCTCCTCCATTTGAGCACCAATATCTAGTTAAAGAACCAGTCGGAACAAAAGGGTCTGTGTTTTTATTCCAGATTGTGTAATTGGAAGTATCAAAGTGATGCTGGCATAGTTGGATATCTTGGGATGCCTGGATAATTGGCTGTTTTTCCAACTCCAAGCTGAAGTCTTTATATGATTGAATCTTTGCCATGGCTAGAACTCTTCTGCATTCTATTGCTGAAGGCAAGGTCTAGGATCAGCAGAGCAGCACAGCTCTTCCCAGGGACACAAGAGAGGAAAACTTGGTGCATGGAGTTGGATGCTGAGTCATGCCTTGTCTTGTGAGCGCAAATGTGGGAGTTCAGCAAAGCACAGACCTCAGTGGGTGTTCACAGTTAATGTAACCCTAGGCTACAGACTAGAAGACTCTGGGTTGGGATCCATCTTTAGTTTGCATTTTTTAACTTCACCCTGGTTTGGTACTGTTTGTAGTATAACAGTCTATTCAATGCTGTTGATTTAATGGGGTGATGTGAAGAGTCCAGCCTGCTTCAGTCATAACTGTAAATATTTATGGGGGTTGACATGTAAATGCCTTTCACTTACTTTTGGAGCATTAGAACGTAATTGAAGTTGTGGACGGTATTAAATCTTGTTGATTTTTATCACTCTTTGTTTGGAGTTATTTGGAAGAGAACCATCTTTCTGTTGCCAATTAGTTAATATTAACTCATTTGTTCCAGTGTAATTACTCACCCATAACTAAGGAAAGATGCTGCCTGCTGACCCAATACCACTGATATGACGTTGCTTCAGATTCATACCAGCAAAATGAGTATAAGTTCTTGTTACTGAGTACATTAAAACAGAAATAGTTCATTATCTTGGGAAATGGTTATAAAACATCTTTACCAGTGAAAATCATAGGATAGCTAATTCCCTGCTTCTCTCTCTGCCACTGTTTTTCTCTGCAACTAAGCCTATAGATCTAGGGGATGAATATTTTCTGCTTGTAAGGAAAGGATCTTGCGCTGTGTCTTAAATATCTAATTTTGGTCTTTTATTATCCGGAAGGCCCGTAAGCATAATTGAATGTAACATTCTTTGTTGTAAACCTCTGAAAGAGGGGGGGAGGGAAGAAATCACAGCTATCCATTAACTGTAGGGAATTGTTGCTATCTTGCTGAGGTGCTTTTAGGCTGGCCTCTGACCTTTAGAAGATCATTTGCAGCCATCCTCTGGTGGTATAATGTGTGTAGGTTTCTGCAAAATATAGCTTACTAAAGAAGAATAGCACTAAATGATCACAGTCTTAAAGGTTAATTGATATGTAGTCCATGCTGGAAGCTGCCAAGCACTGCAGCTTGGCAGTTGTTGATGTTTCATAGTATATGTTTATGTGTCTTTTCTAATTCCCAACATATTTGAAATATTTTGTCCACAGGAGAAACAGTCTAATCTACTTCATTGCCTCTGAATCCCTTATAAAAATCATATTGTTTTTCATCTGCTTAGTACTCCCCATTGCTGAATCCACTTCCTGGTGTGAAACCAAGTTCTTAATTGTTTGTTCCTGTCTGGATCAGACTGTAAAGCCTTCAGGGATGGGAGTTTGCCTGGCTAGGTATTGGTAAGCTTCCATCCCCTCCAGCTTAG